AGTGCTGAGTCTAATAATATTCCAAAGCGTAAAAACGATGATATTCTACAATCCCTACTTGAAATAGAAAACCAAAAAAAAATAATCTATACTAATATTATAAAGAGATAAAGTTTGTGAGTTTGTGAATTGTGAGTTTGTGACGTTGTTGGGCGTGATCTCTGGATCTACTAAACCGATTTAGATGAAATTTGGTAAGAAGATAGCTTGAGACCCTGGGAAGGATATAGGATACTTTTTATCCCGGAAATCATCCCTTAAGCAAATGGGGACAAAAGTTTGTATGGGGAATCAAGCTAGGGACGAACCCGAGCCAAGCGAGGGTGAGTCGCTAGTAGTTACATATAATATGCATTATGTCATAGCACGTGGTTAGAATAATTATTCATTCCTTTATATCTTTAAGTTTACTATTTGCGATAATACTTGTAAGTCAATTTGTTCAAGGACTATTTAGAACATAATATATTTAGGTGTATAAACTTTACATGGATCGTCAAAAAAAAAAGATATTATTGCTGCCCGAAGAAGATACGAAGTGTAACAATCTCTTATGTATTTCGACTGTAAATCTCAAGAGATTCGTATCTGGTGACACGCAAGATAAGTCAAAACATATTTATTTTTTTACGTAGCTAAAATATGGATCAAATAACATGAATTAAATTAGCTTTTCATTACTTTTCCTTTGTTATTATAATGTTTATTTACTGTTAGGTCAATTTTTTACAGTTTCTTTCTTTAAGGACAAATGGAATAAGAAAATTGTAATACTGAATGTTTGAAAAGAATTATATGTATATACCAATTATAAATTTATATCTTAAATCTCAAAAATGATATTAAAAAGATAATTATTAATGTAATATACTATTTATAGTGTTTCCCAAACTTATTTTCTGGGAAAACTTTGCCATTCAGACTAGTAAGAATATTTGACACATATAACCAAACTGGTCCAGCCGTACTCAACTGGTGCGCTTAGCAACGAATGAGCTTTTCATTTTTATTTATACAGCTTACGATATAAGATTCAAATATATCTGTTTGATAATCAACATAATCGTCAGTTGCTAATTAGTGGGGATGCTTAGTTAAAAAAAAATACTTTTCTATAAAATTCAGCAGTAATTTAAATTCTCTTGAGTATTTGTAGGTATAATTCTTATGGTGATAATTGTTGCGCGAAAAAATTTATCCCATGCTTTATTTAATGGTATAAATATTTATAAACAAAATGGCAAAATCATTTCAAATTTAATGAAACTCAGCCATATTATTATTAAAATTATAAAAACAAATGCTAACGAGCTGTGTAAATTCTTAAATAGGTGCCTCGTTTACCACAACCTCCACATTATTGAGAGTTACCTTTAACATGATTTAATTCTTCGAGTTTAATATGTCGAGCATCGGTACAAATAGAATCAAAATTATTGATTATACCTATTATATATTTTTGGATTCTTAAGAAATGAGTCTGAACATATGAAAATTTAACTTATTCTGATTGAAGTGCGCTTTATAATAATAAAAAAAAAACATTAAAAAATAATTGAACTAAAGTAACTTAAAAACTTTTACAGTCAAAAGTGGACTTGTTTTTGGAGTTTACTCCTTAAGAATCGATTTTCATATAAGTTCCCCGGTATGGAAATTTTATGAGGAGTGAAATTAATACAAGCATTAACTCAAAAGCGTTACGTTTTTCTTTTACCTTTCACATTGAAATGTCACAGTGATTAATTATAATTGTTACACGTTTGGCTCAGTTTGTAGTGACCCTACTTGATGTGCCAGCGGTCGCGGATTCGAGTCCCGCTGGGGGCATTCATTTGTGTGATGACGAATGTATGTACTCCAGTCATGGGTTTTTATATTTATAATATGTATGTATTTAAAGTTATATATGTGTAGTGTATCAACTATCTGGTATCCATAACACAAGCCTCGTAGCTTACCATGGAACTAGATGGCGCTATGTGTTAATGTGCCAACATATAAGAGAGAGACATTATAAAAGATGCTTTTATTTACCCATTTTAACTATAATTGCGTATTCAAAGGAAAAGGAGTAATCAAAAGGAGTAAAAACCAGTCATGCGTCGAAGCTGACACACACATACTTTATTTTTACTTCTTATTAATAAAGTATATTTTTAAAAAGAATCGTGAATATCTACAAAGAAAATTATTTTTTGAATAAATCTAATTTTTTATACTAACTAAATCTTTTGTGTGCGAATATAACTCGCATTTGGCTGATTTTTTAGTAAACTGAAAAAGAAAGTGTTGACATAACAGAAAACAGATGAGTCGTAACATACTCGGCTATGAAGTTTTATAGCTTGTAGTACAGATTTTTTACATAAAAAGTGCAAAAGAGTTCATATAATAATTATATATATATATATATATATATAAATATAAAATTTCAAACTTTTTTTAATAATTTTTTTGATGAAAATTATTATTCATATTATGAATTTAAACCATTCCCAGATCCCTTTGAACACACACAAAAAATTTCATCAAAATCGGTCCAGTCGTTTGAGAGAAGTTCAGTGACATACACACTCACAGAAGAATTATATATATAAAGATAGTATACTGACATACGAACGCTTACAAAAATTAGCTTTGATGTTGGGAAAGATCTAAAACTGAATATTATGAAAGGAGGCCATTTCCTTGCAAACTTAACAGAAAATGTAAGGAAAATTATGCGATAAACAAATTTTCTTATAGTAACGACGCGACTGTATTCCATTCGATCTATTTCTACTGAAAAGATTTTTAAATCAAGATATTTGCATTTAAATATAGCGCTTTTATTACTTCGTTAATAAAATCTTATCTGTCTAAAATTAAATTTTCTATAAGTATAGAATATTCTTTGAACATAGCCTATAAGGGGATATATTATCGAATCTATGCATGAAATTTTTATAGAGGCCGAACCTATGGTTTTTAGAATTTTGTCTGTCTGTCTGTGACTGCATCACGGGAAAACCACTGTGAGGGATTTTGTTGAAATTTGGTAGAGGTTTTAGACGTCTCAAAGGTCAAGTTGTTACAGACAATACCTACCCACAAAATTATAAATTTGTTCTAAAAATACAAAAATTGACAACAACCAAAAATCAAAAAATGAATCCAAAAAGTAAAGCTATTCTAATTACGCTCTTTGTTCATAATACTCATAAATTATAAGTTAAGTATTAACATATTAAGAATTAGAATAACAAACAAAAAAGAACAAAGTAATCTATACATTATTATAATAAAATTCTAACTTAACCGAATTTGTACATTAAATATTTTATGAAAAATCTTATTAAATAGTCGTTATTATCGATACAGAGGCCGAATCTATAGTTTTTAGAATTTTTACCTGTCTGTCTGTGACCTAATCACGGAACACTACTGCAGGGATTTTAATGAAATTTGGTATGATGATAGCTGGTTATCCAGGTCAACATACAGGATACTCTTTACTGCTGGAAAATATCTCATCTCAGAGCAATCTATACTAAACATTAAAACCGCTGTTTCTATAAGTGCTTTTAAATTTATAAGACAATGCTAACGATAATATTAAACAAATATTTCAATTTGTATTTATCCTTTACAGTCTAGTCTATACGGTAATGAATCGTAAATCTATTAAACATTTCCCAGACTTTAATACACAAGTTCAAAATAGAAAGTGATTATACGATGATGCACTTTTATTTATAAAAATAGTATCCAACGCCTGAATTAAACAGTAAGATATTTTAGATTAATAAAGCAAATTTAGTATACACCGTTCGAGTAGCAGAATAAATTGTTGTCTTTCTTCTAACGTTGTGGCGTTTGGCTCAGTTTCTATTAACCCTACTTGCTGTGCCAGAGGTTCAGGTTCGAGTGCGTTGGGGGCATTCATTTGTATAATTAGGACGAATGTTTGTTCTCTAGTCATGTGTGTTTATATTTATAATATGTACGTATTTAAAGTTATATATGTGTAGTGTATCAACTATCTGGTATCCATAACACAAGCCTCGTAGCTTACCATGGAACTAGATGGTGCTGTGTTAATGTCCCAAAATATGATTTATTTATTTTACTAGCTACCTATAGATAAATTTAATTTGATCTTATTGCTAATATTATAAAAAGCTTAAAGTTGTAATTTCGTAAGTTTGAATGTGGGGTTAATCTCCGAAACAACTCATTCGATTTCAGAACATGTTTAAAAAATAGAAAGGACGCTTAGGATGGACATAAGCTGTATATTATACCATTAAAATAAAAACGCTTTTCGTGGAGTCCAATATTGCAATTTTAATAAATTTAGATAATTTTCGTTGATTTTTGAACGACTGTTAAGTGAACATTTCTTGTTTACAATAAATAATAAAGTTTATAGAATTAGATGTTCTTTCTGATTTTATATGTAAGTATATTCTTGTATTTTTAAAATAATTAAGAAGAACCAAAAAATTTCTTTCTACTGTTAAGACCAAAAATAACGCTCCACTGTCCATAAAAAACTCTTCATGATGTTTTGTTAAAAGGTTAAACTTATATCGATGAAATTTGACACAAAGATAGCTTATGTTTTAGAGAGAAATATATTAAGGGAGTATGAGTTTTAAGTATTTACTTACCACCATATCATCATACACATGAGGCAGTGGTAGCCCAGTGGTAACGCGCTCGCTTGGGAAACCGAGTGAAGCAGATTCAAATTCCGGGTCTCGCACCTCTAATATTTCTATATGCGAATCATTTCTAACATGATTACCACTTGCCTTACGGTGAAGGAAAACATCGTGAGGAAACCTGCATGTCTGAGAGAGCCTAACAAGTTTTCGAAAGACATGTGAAGTCCGCCAACCCGCACTTGGCCATTGCGGAGGACTACGGCCTGATCCCCTTCGTATTAAAGGGAGGCCTGTGCTCAGCCTGGGACGTTAAAAAAAGGGCTGAATACGCATGCACAATGCACTTACCATCGAGTTCCACATTTATGTTGGCGGCTGTATGGCCGTCCCATGGGTGGGCGATTAGCTTAACTTTATAAGCACAGCCCGGTCTCACTGCGCAGCCTTCTGACACAGGACTAGCGAAGGCGGGTATTACGCTCCAGAGCGATTCCTAATAGATTAATATCAAATAATTACTTACTAGCAAGAAAAATATAACCTAATATCTATAAATAACTATTTGAAGAAAACCTTCTTTGATAATGAGATAATTAATAATTTAATTCTATTTTAGACTGTTTCATTCAGTTTTTATACGATGGTAAATGTTGCGATTTTCCCTTAAGTCGAGCTCGATTTTATAAGATTAAATGCCTTTTACGCAGAGTGAGTTTTGAGCAAGAATTAGAGATAGGAAATCGTACGCTAATCCTATTGGATTTTATCGTTACGTTAGTAATCTTATTAGTCCCTCCACGACCGCGGACACACCGGGGTTACAGTTAACAATAGATTTGTTAGAAATTTAATTAATTTCTTAGAAATTTACCTGGAGGTGTTAAAATGGTTAAATGCAGACAAGAATTTACAACTCGCCTATATGTATCTTATGAGATTTGAAAGATTCCATACTGCGATTGTTCATATTAGAAATATTTAGTATAGGCAATCTTAGGGTTTTTTAACTTGTATAAACACTATCACGTCACATTATATTTTTACAAATTCGAAATTTGATGTGTGTATGTATGTTTGTTACTTCTTCACACCAAAGACAGATAGGCGGATTTAGGTAAATATTTATACTAATTAGCGTAGATAGAATACGACTTGAACACAGGCTAATTTTAGCAATAAAGTTTGCCGAAATGTGGCACTACCCGTATATTAACAATATTATAACGAGTAAATACAAAGGGCAAGTCGATAGCATGGCATATTTCTAAATTTATTCGAGTATCGTATAAATAAGTTTGAACCGTTTTAAATTCAGTACCTCACATTCTTATTGGTTATAAGTTTGTATGGCAAATATATGCCACATCAAATTATTCGTGGCTATAATGGCAATTTTAAAAACATATATTGTTAAAATTGCCATTACAGCCACGAAAAAAAAAAATTTGCAAAAGATTGAACACGGAAAGTGAAATCGAATTAAGTTAATTATCTCAGTAACTCAGTTTAATTTATAGCGTTTTTGTTTGAACTACAGCAAAACACTCACGCAAGATACACTTGAATTAAAATAGACAATCGTTTAGAGTTGTTGCAGTGTTACACAATATTTCAAAGTGTTTGGATTTGAATCTAGTTAAGACAATTATATCTGTACACTATATTTTACAGGTACACTTCTACAGCATTTTAGAATATAAATAACTAGTGAAAAACAAAAATAAATCTATCCCACGGAAACCATACATTTTCCGGGATAGAAGGTAACCTATGTGCTATTCAAGACTATAATCTATATCTGTGCCAAATTTCATCCAGATCCGTTCAGCCATTCTGGTTTGTTTGAGTAGCAAACATCCATCCAAAATTTTGCATTTATATAACCAAAATATAGTAAAAACAATTCCACAATCAAGTGCGAATCGGACTCGCACACGAAAGATTTTTTTTTATTTGCATGGCAGCTGTTTTGAAATTCTCCATCTTGATTTTTTATTATTTGTTGCTATAGTGGCAATAGACACTCTGTGAAAATTTCAACACTACCTATTACGTTTCACGAGATACAGTCCTCTGACAGACGGACAGACGGCTTAGTAATAGGGTTCCGTTGGCACCCTTCGGGTACGGAACCCTAAAAATAGAGAATATTACAGATTAAATATAGCGAATAAATAACAATTTAAAAAGAAATCAATGTACACATTCCTAACTACTACTAATTATGTATACCTAACACAAATAATTATGTAAGTATCTACACTAACATCGTATTTGTATAGAAAAAAATCTAATTTCTTAGACTATAAAGTAGATTTATGTATGTGTATAAAGTTAACATTTCATCGTTTATGAGTTACGCAAATAAAAGTATCAAATTCTGTAATCCGTAATGGCTTTACACTGTCTCATTTTTGCCTTATTTTCGGCTCTCTCCGTCTCTTGTTTCAACAAAATACATTGGTTCGTAAATATTATCGCTCAATATAGCGACACTTTAAACCAAAATGTTGACCGCATAAAATTTGCAATAATTGTTATAAACACAAGCTTTACCATCAATTACAATATAAAATATATTTATTTATTTATTGAACTACCAACAAAAGTTACAATATTAAAACACTTAAACCTAGGTTACATATAATTTATCATAATAATTGCACTTTTAATTACAGGTATGTAGTTACAACTTGCTGCTTTTACAGGATATCACATTAGTATTAAATAGTATACTACGTTCTATTTAACCGTTTTAAAGTATGAGAACGAACGTTTATGTATATGGCTAATATAATAATTTGATCCTACAAGAAATATAAACTGTATTTTTTAGCCAAAATACAATGTATTAAAAATATAATTTCAATATATATATATATATATATATTCCTCGTATTCTTGAATATTTTTTCATTTTCCTGCCTATCACTTCGTTTTTATTCCATAATAGAAAACTTAAAATTAAATTTACTCACCCCGGGAATGTTATATTCGTAGCAAAGGTTAGATCGGCAATCCCTCGTGTCAGTCAAGCTGTGGACTTCTAGAGAATACTCTCGAACCTCAGGGCCTGATGACAAAATTTCATCACTTCTTACAGAATCAGCTTATGTTACATGATGTGATGTGATGTGATATCTTCTAATGAGAAGAGAGCTTGTATTAAATGAAATATGTTCATCTGTTATGTATAAAAAGCGACTATAGCTCCTAAAGGGTAAATTTTGATTTTAATTTAATATTTGTCAAACATTTTTAATGTTTAGCTAATTTTTTTTTGTGAGCTTTGAGGCTAAGGTAAGTAAACAGATAGTGTTAGAGAAGACTACGTTTAGTACTACAAACTAGTAGACTAGAGTCTACATGACATTAGCGAAGTAATCTGTGCTCGACTGTCACGTTTTGATGCCACTAACATGATAATTAAATTGAATTGAATTGGAAATAAATGACAACATACCAACAGGTGGGTCCCAAGTAACGTTGAACATCAACTCGTGATCAGACCCCCTGAGGGGTACCGGGTAGACGGCTACACCCCGAGGGAGAGCGGCGTGCTGCACTCTGTAGGGGTCTGCTTTCTCCTATAATTATTTAAATAAAAATACTATTATTATAGTGATTAAATTTCAAAAATCTATAATACAAAAAAAAGTTTCGAAACTTGATGAATTATTGTGTTCACGCCCGGAAAGTTTTCTGGGATCAGTATCATACCAGTATACCTTCAACATAAAATGATCATACATACAAATAGACAATTGGATGAAAATAAAAACTCACGCTGCGTTACTAATAATTGAAAATTAAAATGACTACACAAGACACTACTCTCTTCTCTCCGATAAGTGAGCTTTTAAAAAAGCTTTTATAACGGCTAAAAACAATGATTTTCACTTTAAATTTTAAATTAACTAGAAATATTTTTTTATGTTTCACCATTTGTTAGTGTGAATTAGATTATATCAAAACAAAGTTAAATATTCTTTCATTTAAAATATTGTTATTTGTTCGGTCAAAACAAACATTATTTCATATAAACGTCGATCCAGCAACCTTCAGGTCAATGTAAAAGTAGGAAGGGAGGTAGAAGTAGAGATAAAATTGGAAAAGTTATACAAATTAAATACATAATATATATGTCGGAGGTGTAGTGGCTAGCATGTACGGCTGCATACCCGGAGGTCCTGGGTTTTAGTGCCGGGTCGGGCCAAGTTTAGTTATTGAGTCTTTCTGTATAGTAAGTCTCAGTAGCAGCCCGAAGTTGGGAAGTTGGCGGTGTTTCACCCCCGTGCCTCGGAGAGCACGTAAAGCCGTCGGTCCTGCGCCTTAACTCTCACTGGTCGTGTCGAGCAGTCGTCCCACCGGAGTATGAGAGTGACAGGAATAGAGAGTGCACTGGTGTCTGCGCGTACACTTGTGCACTATAATATCTCCTGCGCAGTTGGGTAGTCTCCATGAAATTGGCCGCCGTGGCCGGAATCGGTCAGGAGAACATCATCATATCGGAGGAGAATTTAGTTACATTTTTTTTTGGTATAATGTAAAACCTTATTATTGCTTAAAGTCACTATGTTATTCCCTCAACGACCGCGGACACGCCGGCGTTACAGTTAACAATAGATTTCTTAGAAATTTAATTAATTTCTTAGAAATTTAATTAATTTCTTAGAAATGTTAATAAATTTCTTAGTAATTTATATATAATTCGAAATCATATTAAGAGCCGAGGCGAAGTTTCGAACGGGATCGAGGTGCCATCATGACATTCGTTGAAGATATGTGGTATGGTAACGTTGGTTGATCGTGGCTGATCATTGGAGAGTTCTGTTTCGATATTGTAGTTTATAACGTAACGTAAAATGTATTGAGCATTGCATACTTTATTTTGTGTCCGTATTATATGAAAACACCCACCAGATTCATAACTACTAAAGATAATGTTACGAATATGGATACCCTGTTATATGTATATAACTAGCATTGCCCGCGGCTCCGCCCGCATTCAGATGACCAAAAACCAAATTCTTAGGTTTTACATATACTCTACTCTACTCTTACATTGCAGTTTATGTATTTTTTCTCAGAAATTAGATATTTTCCCGCGGTAAAAACTATCTTATATGTTGACCCGGATAACTATCACTATACCAAATTTCGTCAAAATCCCTCCAGTGGTTTTTTTGTGATGCGGTAACAGACAGACAGATAGATAGACAAACATTCTAAAAACTATAGATTCGGATTCTGTATCGATAATAATGTTTATTTCAATAAGATTTTCCAAAAATATTTAATGTACAGATTCGGCTTAGTTACAATTTTATTATATGTATAGATTAGTTTAGTAGTCATCTCTCTCTCTCTCTCTCTCTCTCTCTCTCTCTTTCTCTCAGTCCCCCTCTGTTCTCTTTTTACTGACATTTCTAAAATGCATCTAATTGCCCTTAGCTCTACTGTACATTTTAGAATGATATTCTTATAAGTATGTATTGTGCAGGGTTGCCACCTTTAGGGGTAAAAAATCGGAATAATTTCTTGACGTTTTAGAGCAGGGAGGGGAGTGGGGATGTATTGACCATTATTATTAGCATTATACGAGTTTCGTCAACTTAAGACAAACGAATTAACTGAGTACTTAACGGGCAAAAATATATTAGATATGCCGACGGGACGCGGGACAATACCGTCAAAATCGGGACTTTCCCGACGTATTGTGTACGTATTTAACTAGGTCTAAAGGGTTTGAAATTAAGTAAACTATGAATTGCTATGCTAACTAGGTTAAATGTACTGTAATATATAATAATAATATATTCCAACTACAAAAGCCCTAAAATAACAATGTTGTTGTTGGAAGCATTGAAATATTTGCTTGCTTTGATTTAAATGTTAATTTAGTTTTATATTCCTGACAATGTTTTATAGCCGTAAGATATATTTAAATTGCTAGCAGTTGAAACGTGGCCAGCAATGTTAGAAATCGATGATGAATGTAGGACCAAGACTGTTCACAAACATAATGTTAGGGCTTGTACTCAAGGGTTTTTATTCTAGGGCCAATTTCAGATTGATTCATTGATTGGTTAATACCAAAGCGTCTCATGAAATAAAATAAATAGTTCAAATAAATGTCAATAGATGGCGTTATATTTAACGATTTGTTATTTGTTTATGTAAAATAGTTAGAAGAAAAAATAAAATTGTTCCGTAAAAGACATTGTGATTTGAAAAAATAGTCCAAAGTTTCCATAATTTTACTGATTACTACTGATTATTAGTATGGAATAGACAGACTACATAGTAGTATATAGTTCCCAGGGTAGTCTCAAACTATCAGCGGTTTTTTAGTTTATCCATTACAAAAAAAACATACAAAAACATAAAAAAAAATCAAAAAAATAATCTCTTTATAATATTAGTATAGAAGTATAGATGACTCAAATACGATGGCACTGTTTACATTTTATGAGTTGTTTGCCACGGTTAAAAAAGTTACTGTAATATATATTGTTAATTGCAAAATATTTTCTTTATATATTAAAATGTTTTGTACAAACATTTTTAAAAAATAATTCATTTTTGACATTTTTTTCCTGCTTAAAAAATAGCCCGAAGAATAGCCAGAATTAGGACTTCAATTCTTGTACAGGATGGAGCATCAGTGCTAATATACCTAGTGTTCTGTAATCAGTATGTTACATTTAATCGGGGTATTGTGATTGAAAATGAAAACTAGGATAAAAAGTAATTAGAACTCTATGTTACTTTGGGCCAAATAGTAATTATAAAACTAACGTAAATGATAAAACTTTTCGTATGTTGTAAGTAGTTATTTTGTCTTTAACTAGCGACTCACCCTCGCTCAGCTCGGGTTCGTCTCTACTTACGTTTTAAGGTTTAGTATCGATTTCTCAGATATGAGATATATTCCCGCAGTTAAAAGTATCCTATATGTTGACCCGGATAACCAGCTATCATCATACCAAACTTTATTAAAATCCTTCCAGTGGTTTTTCTGTGATGCGATAACAGACAAAAATTCTAAAAACTATAGATTCGGCCTCTGTATCGATAATAATGACTATTTTAGTAAGATTTTCGAAAAAATATTTAATGTACAGATTCGATTCGGTTAGAATTTTATTATATGTATAGATATTGTGCTAATAAACACACGAGCTCCAAATGGTTTTTTTTTAAATCACTTTCTACAAGTGAGCATATTAGCTATATACTCGTATAAAGTAGACATTTGGTCATAATGAATTTTCTTAGTAATAAATCACTTTTTTTCAATTACAAATTTCAGTATACAATACAGCTGTAAATGGTAATATTAAAATCTGCTAAAATGATTATAAGAGCGTTATTTTTTTTAAATTTATATGAAATCTGTGCAATATTACGTTTTTTTGAAAACGGCCAAATTTAGTACCTTTCCTTTTTGATTTCGGTCAAATATAGACTAATTTATTTTAATGTATCAAATAAAAATAAAAACTGTTTGTTTGTTTTATAAATAAGTGTTAATACAAGTTTAGTGTAGGCGAGGTGAGGCACTGGATACCGTATTGTCAGTTGCTATGTCAATAGGAAACGAGCCATCTAAGTGTACGAGTACAAATCTATAGATAAATATAAAATTTTCACAGATTTTCTCTCGTATTGTATTTTTTCTGCCAATGGTTTATAGATAGCTAAGTATAAAATTTTCACAGATTTTGTCTTATATTATATTTTTTCTACGAATGTTTTTAAAATCGTGTATATGTTAGTGCTCTATTATTGTGTGTGGAATCATATTTTAATGCGATGTTAATATTATACACTCACAGGCACAATTAACAGCCCACTTTGTAAGTCTTAGTTCGCCGAAACTATCAAATGCATAAATTTGATAAATGGTACGTTGAAAACAATCTATATTGTATATACTAGCGGCTCACCCTCGCTTCGCTTGGGTTCGCCTCTAGAAAAACAAAGAGACCTATCCTGTTCATTTTTCCAGGGTGAAAAGTAACCTGTTGTTTGACTGGCAATATAAGGCATGCCAAATTTTACCAAATTGCAGTGCATAAGTTGTTGTGTAGCTGTATAAGTTACTATAGTTTTTAACTATCCCACGGGAACTCTTTAATTTTCCGGGATGAAAAGTATCTAAGATGTTGCCCGGGGATATAAGGTACCACAATGCAACATTTCATTTAAATCAGTCCAATAGATTCGGAGATTAGCCCGTACAAACAGACAGAGAAACAAAAAAATTGAAAAAAATCTGGATTTGTTCTATTTGTCTTCTAACATCCCCCTGACTCGGTTTTTAGCATTTTTTTTCTATATACAGAAATTCGACCTCTACAGTTTTAATCTAGTATAGAAAAGTGATTGACTGATGTATCAACGCACAAGCCAAACCCTTAAAAACCTTGGCGTCACTATGTACCTTTTTAAGGCTACAAAATTGAAATTTCGCACGCGTATTCCCCATATGCGAAGGCTTCCACTAAAGAACGATTTTTCAAAATTCAACCCCCACGGGGATGAAATATGAAATAGGGGATACCTAAGAGTTTGAATGAAACTTTTTATTTCTTGGACATATTCGCATGAAATTTCGTATGAATTGAGTACGGCAAAAATAATAAGTGGCGTATTTCAGCGTTTTCTAAAATTTAACCCCTAAGAGTGTAAAATAGGGGATGAAATTTTTTATGAAACCCTCTTTTTAGAGATTTTTTGTAGTTCTAGCGCGAGCGATGCCGCGGGTTCTGCTAGTCTTTGATAAATAAAAACAAATGAAAATATTGCAAATAAATAAGTTATTAAGATGTCCCACTTTGAGCGAAAATATAATAATAATATGACTTATGACCAAAAAATTTACACATTTTTGAGACCTAATTCATTAGAAATCAAGTTAAGTTGCTGATAATGTACGTATGTAGTTTGTTATTATTATCATGTAGGTAAAGTCCGCCACATCATGTCTATACATTAATCTATACACGATATCAATTACTCAATTTTGAAAACTATTGTTTCTGATAAGAATATAAAGAGATTTGTCTTTGTTTTCAAATTTATAATAATATGTTGGGACATTAACAAACAGCACCATCTAGTTCCACGGTAAGCTAGAAGGCTTGTGTTATGAATACCAGATAGTTGATACACTATACATATATAATTTTAAATACATATATATTATAAATATAAACACCCATGACTGGAGTACAAACAGTCGTGCTCATCACAAAAATTAATGTCCAGCGGGACTCAAACCCGCGATCTCTGGCACAGCAAGTATTACACTACAAACCGAGCCAAACGTGTCGTCTTTATGAATTTTGAAAAGCACTTACATACTGACGCCTGGGCGGGTGATGCGGAGGCGGAAACGGCATGTCGTGATGACCGAAATCCATTTTTCGAACATTTTGTAAACCAGCACAAAAGAAATTACACTCTAACGATATTGTTATAAATAACAGTTTGTACCAACACATCGTTCGGACTCACATCGTATCCCTTTACAACGTAATGATTACTTCAATCATTGAAAAAAACATGAATAACGGAAGTGAATGGTCTATTTTTGTATGATAAATAAACAATATAGAAGCAAACAACGAGGCCTCACGACATTGATTGAATGTTGTAATGCGAAGTCACAAAACTAGACAAATTTTTTTAGCGATTAAGATTTACAAGTGGATTAAGGAAAGTGCACACTGTCGTTAAACGCGCAATGCAACGTTATCGACAATATGTGCGATTGTTGCGACAGATATCTTAATTTTATAAATTTGAACATAGTACTTTTCTTGGTATATTCAAATTTTAAATTGAATCTCAATATAATACCTAATACGATATCTTAAAAAAATAAATCTATACTAGTATTATAAAGAGGAAAGATTTTTTTGTCTGTTTGTTTGTACCGACTAAGCTCTGAAACTACTGAACCGATTTAGACGAAATTTGGTAAGAAGATAGTTTGACACTCTGGGATGGACATAGGATACAGGTTTTTATCCCGGAAATCATCCCTTAAGGGGGTGAAAATGGGGGTGAAAGTTTTTATGAGGAGGCAACCTAAATATTTCGCATGGTTACGTTTGTTCACGGAATCAAAATGTAACTTTTGTTTTTGCTTCATAGTTATGTCTGTCAAAACATCGCTGTAACCATTTCTGCGTGTTAAAGGCGAAGCTTAAAAATACATTTACATTTATTAATATTGGAAAGAAAATATTCGGTAATATATAAATGTGTTTCTATGTATATTTAGTATTCTATATGCTGGCAACTTCTATGTAACACATAATGTCGTAGAATCTTGAACTTACATAACGACGTTTTATTTTGTCTGTCTATATCAATACATACATATAATAAAATTGTAACTAAGTCGAACCTGTACAATTAATATTTTTTGGAAAATCTTATTGAAATTGACATTATTATCGATACAAATCCAAATTTATAGTTTTTAGAATTTTTGTCTGTGAGTCTGTCTGTTTGTCTGTCTGTCTCTCTGTTAACGCATAACGAAAACCACTGGACAGATTTTGATGAAATTTGGTATGATGATAGCTGGTTATCCGGGTCAACATATAGGATTATATCGCTCCGCTCGGGTTCGTCCCTGGTATTGTATATTACTTAACTATAAAACATAATTTAAATGTAATATAAGAAAAATATCGCAATAAATAATCTATATTAAAGCTATTATTATGATTGATAACGAATTTCAGTTTTAAAACAAAGGTGTGAAGTCATTTATAGCTCGCACATGACATTAATTTATTATAATAAGATACGTATGTCTTACTAGTGGCTAGCCTTGGCTTTGTACGGGTACTTTTGTGATAAAACATTGTTCTACATTAAATAATTCTATTTTGTACTCAAAGGATTTTAATATAATATATATTATATGTACATCTAAAATATAAAATTTCCATGTCACAATGTTAGTTACCGTACTCCTCCGAAACGGCTTTACCGATTTTTACCAAATTTTATATGCGTATTCAGTAGGTCTGAGAATCGGCTACTATCTATTTTCCGTACCCCTAAGTGATAAAGATAAGGGTGGTACACCCAGAGCCCACCCCAGGGACTAACCCGAACGGAGCGAGGGTGAGTCGCTAGTAGAAATATAAAATTATAAGTTTGTCCAATTGCCAAATAAATCTGTTTTTACTATTATTTATCAAAATATTGCCCATAAACATGTTTCGTGTTCATTTTCTCAAATTACATCAAAATCAGATCATCCACGTAGCTGTGACAACTAAACAGAAAGACGTACAGGAAATCGAAATTATAATATTATTATGGACCCTCGCTTCGCTTCGGGTTCTTCAAAAACCTAGACAAAAACAAATCTATCCCACGGGAACTGTACATTTTTCCGGGATAAAAAGTAGCCTAAGTGCTTTTCCTGAATATAATCTATCATGGTACCGAATTTCATCCAGATCCAATCAGCCGTTTTGGCGTGAAAGAGTAACAAACTGACAACCATCCTCACAAACTTTCACATTTATAATATTAGTATGGAGGATAAATCCCTTTAAACATCATAATAAAAAATCTATAACAGTTGAAGTATAAAATCGTCGACGTAATTACGATGAGTGTGTCCAAGGCACCTATTAGTGGATAGGCTATCAATTTTCACTACAACCGATAATATAACGAACACTCGAGATCCACTGACGTTGTTCCGATACGCTACTATAGATTAGATAAACACATTAACAACGTATATTTGGACGGGTAATGTGAGTTTTAATTGCGAAAAAACAATACGCGAACTACCCAATAGGGTGCCAAGATAATCGATGTGGTGAAATTTTTGTGGTGTTTTTGTGGTTGTCTAGTGATTTATGTCTTAGTATTACTAGTTTGTTATGTATACAAAATTTATACGTCTATTTTATAGTATCTCGTGATGCCTATAATGAAGATTTTTTTATTCTTGTGCTATATTGTTTTATATAAGTACTTTGACGTAATATGCAATTTTGGGATTATTATTGATACAATTTTGGATTTACGTATCAGGAATCGAAGTTACGATCTTCAGCACAAAACACAATGGTTGTTAAGTGACAAAAATATTTTAAAAATCATTTCATTAAGATTTATGTACATGAATCATTGAATGATACCTTCTTCTATATATGTAAAACCCAAATACCTTCTTCTATATACATTATCTATACATGTAATAAAACTGTAACTAAGCCGAATCTGTACATTAAATATTTTTTGAAAAATCTTATTGAAATAGACATTATTATCGATACAGAGGCCGAATCTATAGTTTTTAGAATTTTGACAGACTGTCTGTTACCGCATCACGGAAAAACCACTGAAGGGATTTTGATGAAATTAGGTGATAGCTGGTTATTCGGGTCAACATATACGATACTTTTTACCACGGGAAAATGTCACATTTCTAAGAAAAAATACAAAAACTGCAGTGTAAGAGTATACATGTAAAACCTTAAAATTTGGTTTTTGGTCATCTGAACGCGGGTGGAGCCGCAGGCAATGCTAGTCTAATATAAACCTAGTAAATTATAAATGTAATAATATAATATATTTATTAACATATAGGCTAAGTCCGGGAGAGACGCCTATAAGGGAGAGATGCCTACAAAATTATATAATAAATTTATAATATTCGGATAACATATTACTAAAATTTTCTGATAGTCACAAATAGAGCTAATATAAGAATTGTGAAAGACTCACCGAAACAGTACTATGTGCGTTTTGATATAAAAGTGTAGAATGTATGTCTCCTGTATTTCTTCTTGTTGAATCTGTTAAATCTGGTGCTAGAGTGTTGAAGTCATCTTGCGTTGTTTGCAAATCATCAGAGCTCGTCGTTCTTCCAATATACTCCCTAATAAGTGTATTGATGCCTGTAAAGGCTGAATCTGGCCTTGCATTCTTTCCTGATAGTAGCATCATAACACACAATGCCGAGTGCCATTTCATGGTAATATCCATATTACATCAGATCCACGAATTCATTCTTACATTTTGAAATTACACTTCACAAGATTCCATTCGAAGCTTATAAATACAATATTTAGTTTATTAAAGTCTTACAAGTTTATAAAATAGCTATTTGAATTATATATTCATTACAAGATTTATTTGATATTTTGGGCTTCATCATCAAACTAACTTTATGGTACCATATTATTTACGGTACCAAGTGTGGTACCAATATAACATAGGTAAATGCTTCCAAATTAGATTAATTTTGTACCTAACTAACAGACACACATACGAAGCGAGGCAAATATTAGCAATGTAAAAAACAAAATTCAGATAATATACATTTTTTGTTGAAAACGTAAGAACTTTTTTTACCATTAAATAAACCACGTAAAATATCTTCGGATATTTATCACGTCAGTAAATTTAACCCAGGATAAGTAGTAGGCAGCACTCTAAAGTTTATTTTAAAAAATGTATAAAACAGAGCTAGTTGTGCTTATGATGAGATTTAAAATAAATATAATGGTACATGTAAGCTACGTTGAACGATGTTTACATATTGTTTTTGATACGGAAATATGACACCGTAGTCATTTCAAATTCTTTACATATTGCAACATAGACGTTTCTACAAATATTTAACTATTCAATATAACAAATATTAAAAAAAATGTGTCTTTTAATAACAATAAGGACTCAAACTTTCTTCGAAATATTAATTTCATATTACATTCTAGTAATACCCTAAGGAATTGGAATACTAACTTAGAAACGTGTGATTTGCGTGTTATATCAAAGGCAGATACGTTTTAACGATTAGTATAGATATTTTCCCGCAATAAAAAGTATCTTATATGTTGATCCGGATTACCAACTATCATCATACTAAATCATCAAAATCTGTCCAGTAGTTTTCTTGTGATGCGTTCCCAGACAGACAGAGAAAAATTCTAAAAACGATTGATTCGGCCGCTGTATTGATAATAATGACTATTTCAATAAGATTTTCCAAAAGTTATTTAATGTACAGATTCGACTCAGAATTTTGTTATATGTCTATATATATAGATGTGTAGGTACATCAAGACAGGTTCTAATTTATCAACGTGAAAAAGAAATATTTTAAAGAAATTACCTTATATAAATAAAATTATTTTACTGTATAACCTCTCCCTATACTGTTAAACTATGACTGGATGTTCTGATCAAAAAATATATATCGTTAGAATACTAATAACTTAGATCAAATAATCTATTTAAATGTGATAAACAAAAAGTACTAAAAATTACTTTTAATAATACTAGATATAAAGTCTTAGCGATCTTTGTTTTGAATACAGCAACCTGTTGCTCGGTAAGCTCGTACAATTTACTTTGAACCGTATCGAAAGGAAATAGCAGCTTTTAAGCTCACTTGTGTATTTTTTGTAGAAAAAGCTTTTGATAGATAGTTCGTAAAATTAGATTATTAAAAGTCTTGAACGTTATTTCAATACATTTTTAATAATGACGTGTAGTCAGTAAACTTTACATCTGTACATTAAGTTTTATACAAATAGAATGTACTTATATATAGAGTTTTCTATAAGCTTTGGAATATATTTTATTTTTAATAAAATATTGATTTTATGTAATACTTGATTTATATAATAGTTTTTATATACGTTTTTATGTTTTTCTATACCAGATTATTGAAGATGAATTTAATAACCTATCCCTAGATACAAAACCACTTCACAACACTTATTTCTGGGCACTTGATTAAAAGTTCTATCTACTTTCTAACAAAAAATTGACACTATTTACACTACATGTTTTATTATAAAATTATTTTAAGTATTCATTATCACATTTGGAATACTTTAATTTACGATAACACATTTTCACGCGCGTGTAACAAAAGCGGGTGTTTCAGGCAGGGCGGGCGCCCACTCGACTCCCGTAGCTCAACTGGTCCCCTGTAGCTGAACAGTCCTGGGACGTTACTATTTAACTTTTATTTTCGCATCTAATACGCATGATCGAGTTTTTATATAAGTGTTCCATAATTTTATTTGAAGGCCTTAATTTGGAAAATTACTTATTACGTTAGAATAAGCAATTTTATTCATTTTATACTTATCAAAATTTATATCAAAATTATAAAGCTCTAATAGAATATATTTTATATTTTGTTAAAGATTGTATTTACGAAATTGTTATTGTATTTATTGAAAGAAGTGTATTTACAAGTATTTCATTATACTCTAAATATACTTTAGTTATTGTCGTTAAGAAATATAATAACAATAATAAATATTCTGGTTACTCTCTATCAAAATTGATAACTGGAAGTGAATTACCATCGAGTTCGTATAGTACACCTAGGTATAGGTTCGAAGAAGAATTGTGTCACTGAAATTATGAGAGCACTTTGATATTCTCAAACATTTACATACAATTTTCAATTCCTTAATATTTTTTTATGATTCTAAATAATTTCAATTTTTTCGTATTTATAACTAGCGACTCACCCTTGCTTCGCTTCAGCTTCGTTTCTAAACGAGAACCAATCTATCCTACGGGAATCGTACATTTTTTCGAGATCAAAAGTAACCTATATGCTATTCCAGACTATAATCCATCTATATGCCGAATTTAATTCAGATCCATTCAGTCGTTCCGAATCGGTATAGTTATAAAAACTTAAAAAAAACCGACTTCCAGGCACTAAAATGTAAAAAATAACTAAACGGAGGTTTTCATTTAGAATAGATACCTAATCAGATATTTTCGAAGTCAGTGCCAGCCGATGCAAAGTAAATCGAATATATTTCGATACGTAAAATACATATTTACCTATTAGATATTCATATCTTAAATTACATTTTAGTGCCTGGAAGTCGGTTTTTTTTAAGTTTTTATTTTTCCATTTTAAGTCTAGATGTAATAAGCTGGTAAATTGTAAGAAGAAAATTTTTAATAACATATTCGATTAAACAATTTATTTAAAAAATATATTTATTCTTGACTTTTTTAATAGCCGCTCGACAGATTTCGATAAAATTTATATGGGACCACCTGGGAAGTATACCCTTTAAAACAAAACAAATATTTTCCAAATCGGTTCAGGCGTCTTCGAGTAATCGGTGAACATACATTAAAAAAAAGATTCCGACGAATTGAGAACCTCCTCCTTTTTTTGGGAAGTCGGTTAAAGACTTACTCTGGTTCCCATTAACCTATCCAACCATCAGTCGATTAATTTTGATAAAAAAAATCCCGTATAAAAGGCTATCTACCTAGAGGGTTATTGAATAATGACTGAGTAATAAAAAAAAATACAGTCGAATTGAGAACCTCCTCCTTTTTGAAGTCGGTTGAAAATTAAAAATATTGCTAATTTATTTATTGCTATAAACAAGTACGCATACTTACTTCGTAACAATAACTTCTTAGAGCTACCTACGAGTACATATATTGTTTATTCTTTGGGGAATCCTTTATATTTTGGTGTAATACGCAAACTGAATATTTTTCTGTATATATTAATAATATGACTTCATTAAATGAATCTATTTGCATAAGTTCTTAATAAGTACATATTAAATAGATTTGATCTTGTTGGAAGTTCGTTGAACGGTGAAATTCAGTACCTATTGGTTTAATAAATGCGCCTGTCTGTTTATTTATTGTACATGTCTGTCTGCCTGCAAAATCTTTACGCTTAAGCAAGTCAAGATCAGTGATATTTGGTATAGAATTCGCTTATGTTATGGAGATAAGTTTACGTTCAAATGATTTGAGTAACAATTACTTTTATATTATTCTTTCTTTAATATAAAATATATATAGGATTTGAAGAAAAAATAAAAAAAGCACTAAGAAGTAAAAATTGAGAACCTCCTCCTTTTTGTAGTCGGTTGATAAAAATAGATATATCCGTCAAGAGTGAAATCTCAATGCCAATACCTATTGAAGTGTATGAAAAAGTGAAAAGAAAACTAAAAAGGAAACGAATTTAGCAAAAAATTTATAGATGTAGATTTAGAGGCGTAGCCATCAGGCAAGGTAGACTTTTTACTATCAATGGTAGCATTGTCTTCATTTTTTAATAGTGATAACGATTACTTGTTATATCTATACATATAATAAAATTGTAACTAAGCCGAATCTGTACATTAAATATTTTTTGGAAAATCTTATTGTAATTGACATTATTATCGATACAGAGGCCGAATCTATAGTTTTTAGAATTTTTGTCTGTCTTTCTGTCTGTCTGTTACCGCCTCACAGAAAAACCACTGGAGGGATTTCGATGAAATTTGGTATGATGATAGCTGGTTATCCGGGTCAACATATGGGATACTTTTTACCGCGGGAAAATATCTCATTTCTGAGAAAAGATCCAAAAACTGCAATGTAAGAGTATGCTTATCAGTAAAACCTAAGAATTTGGTTTTTTGTTATCTGAACGCGAGCGGAGCCGCGGGCAATGCTAGTATACTCTAAGCGATAATATAAGGTATATGTGTGTATATAATAAGCATGCATATACGTATATAGCGTTGCATGAGAATAAAATTAAATTATCACGACTTTACCAACAGATAGAGCTACGTTGTTATTATACGGAGTTGTGTATTAGTATTTTTTTTTATTTTCTTAGTATTTTTGCTTACAATCTCCATGCAGATAAAGTGTACTTACTCTTAGTTATTCTTATCAATTATTCATGTAGTAGGTTTGCTTTTTTCATATCTATTTTGTTGGGGTACTCTGTTTTAACACCTTAAGCATTGCCATTTTCGGGTACCCTCATGGTGTATGATGTCATACTATCTCTGAGAGAACCTATTAAGTTTTGGTGTCATGTGAAGTCCGCCAACCCGCACTTGGCCAGTGTGGTGGACTATAGCTTAATAATAATAATAATAATAAATCTTTAATTCGGAATACTTTTCCATAAAATTAGATTACAAACAAAATAAATATAAACTAAATACAAAAATAAATACAACAGT